CTGGTTTTTGGTGCACCAATATATTATCATCAACATCCACAGTGTACAACATTGTCCAAACAGTGCACTAACATTGTCTCCATTCACGTCCTTCTCTTCCTATCTGTTATAACTACCAACCTCCACTGTGAATCCAAATGAATGATAATAAAAATACAGGTTTCAGGGTTTTCTAAAAAAGGGGGTAGGTGGTGATGGCCGTGGTTGGCCAGTCGGCGTGGTTGGTCCAGTCCAAATTATACAACTATCCAGTCCAGATGTAACCATACTAAGCCACATTCAACTATCCAGTGCAGATGTAACCATACTACACCACATTGTAATTAATTAATTAATTACATGCGTTTTGAAACAGTGATCGGATATTGTTCTCCATGCGTTTTGAAACAGTGATCTGATGTTCTCCATGCGTTTTGAAATGTATGGAGTAAAAAGTACATTATTTTCATTTGGAATGTAGTGAAGTAAAAGTAAATGTTGTCAACAATTTTTTCTGGACAGAAGGTAAATCACGAATGACAATGTATAATGTCCCTTAATGAGAAACAATGACAAGATATCCCCTCACTGTTTCAAAACGCATGGAGAACAATATCAGATCACTGTTTCAAAACGCATGGAGAACAATATCAGATCACTGTTTCAAAACGCATGGAGAACAATATCCGATCACTGTTTCCAAACGCATGGAGAACAATATCCGATCACTGTTTCAAAACGCATGGAGAACAATATCCGATCACTGTTTCAAAACGCATGGAGAACAATATCCGATCACTGTTTCAAAACGTGGGCTCCCGAGTGGCTCAGCGGTCTAAGGCACTGCATCTCAGTGCTTGAGGCGTTACTACAGACCCCCTGGTTTGATTCCAGGCTGTATCACAACCGGCCGTGATTGGGAGTCCCATAGGGCGGCGCACAATTGGCCCAGCGTCGTCCGGGTTTGGCCGGTGTAGGCCGTCATTGTAAATAAGAATTTGTTCTTAATTGACTTGCCTAGTTAAATAAAGGTAAAATAATAAAAATTATGTTAGGCCACTGGCAGTACTGTAGGAGAGAAGGTTGGATGGAGAAGAGGACTAGAGAGAAGAGGTATAAGCCTCTTGAAGCCTTCGCTTGAGACGGCTCTAGCCGGAGCCCGCGCCTTACCCTCCATCACCGTTCACAACGCCATAGCAAAACCCAAGCCCACTTAATGGTAATAGCGCTCACCGATGCCCCCTAGTGGCCGGTTCGGAAGTCATCTCTCGACGTCCTGGGTACTGGATCACATAAACGTCCCCCATTCATGAATTATAATTGATTCATTCTGACACATATCAGTAAAGTACAGTAGTATCTATGCAAATCCAGCACACTGACGTACACAGAAACAGCCATGACATGGGTCCACCATCCGTGTTTACGGAGCCACTAACCACACCAGACAAGCAGGTAAATGGGAAAGTCTAAACTAGAGCTGACCACCATGATCCCAGCTCCAGATTGGTTCCAGGAGACAGAGGATGCATCCCAAATGGCTCCCTCTTCCCTACAGAGCCCTTTGGGCCATGGGTCAAAAGTAGTGCACTACAATGGGAATAGGGTGTCATTTGGAATGCATTCTGAGAGACAGATTACATTACATAAACAGTAATAGATGTGTCTCTGTATGGATATGCAGGGTTGAGACTGGTGGTGTACAAATTCAACTGCCAGTCTGATTTCCTGCTACATCAGTTATTTGACTTGACAGGGGAGTCTTCCTCTAGGAAAGTATGTGGTTCACAACAAGGGATGTGTATTCAGTCACTTGCTGAAGGATGTTGGTAACGGCTTTGAGCATACCTTTCATCTCTGGGTATTTATGGTGTATTCAAACGCTGCACATGTCGTGTTTCAGTACTTGTCGGTGTTCCAGTACATGTTGGTGTTCCAGTACATGTTGGTGTACCGGTACATGCCGGTGTTCCAGTACATGTTGGTGTTCCAGTACATGTTGGTGTCCCAGTACATGCCGGTGTTCCAGTAGATGTTGGTGTACCGGTACATGCCGGTGTTCCAGTAGATGTTGGTGTACCGGTACATGCCAGTGTTCCAGTACATGTTGGTGTCCCAGTACATGTTGGTGTCCCAGTACATGTTGGTGTACCGGTACATGCCGGTGTTCCAGTACATGTTGGTGTACCGGTACATGTTGGTGTTCCAGTACATGTTGGTGTCCCAGTACATGTTGGTGTTCCAGTACATGTTGGTATTCCAGTACATGTAGAAACAAACAAACAAGCCCCTGTGTTGCTCATCAGACATGACAATAACACACGTGACATCTAGAGTCTAGACTCTGAAGGATGCACTAGCAAATCCTCATGATTTCTTGCCTCAGTAACTTTGTGATTTAATATATTTTGAAATCAGAGTGCCACACCATTTCATTCAGCATATTTAAGTAGAACAATTCAGTCAGCTCAGCTCACAGCAGCTTACAACTATAGCCGTCCCAAATACCACCCTATTCCCTACATAGTGCACTATTTCTGACAAGAGCCCTGGTCTAAAGTAGTGCACTATGTAGGGAATATGGTGCCATTTGGGACGCATGGGTAGTATCTCCCAGTGTGGGAGAGAAGATAAAACAGGTAGGAAGTATTTGTCATGGTGATGGATTGAGTAATATGTGATGTTCTAAACGTGTTGTCAGACTGGTTCCGTTGACTGATACAGGATGCCATACACAGCTAGGCTAGGCTAGGCTAGGTTATACAGGATGCCATACGCAGCAAGGCTAGGCTAGGCTAGGCTATACAGGATGCCATACGCAGCTAGGCTAGGCTAGGCTAGGCTATACAGGATGCCATACGCAGCTAGGCTAGGCTATACAGGATGCCATACGCAGCTAGGCTAGGCTAGGCTATACAGGATGCCATACGCAGCTAGGCTAGGCTAGGCTATACAGGGTGCCATACGCAGCTAGGCTAGGCTAGGCTATACAGGATGCCATACGCAGCTAGGCTAGGCTAGGCTATACAGGATGCCATACGCAGCTAGGCTAGGCTAGGCTATACAGGGTGCCATACGCAGCTAGGCTAGGCTAGGCTATACAGGATGCCATACGCAGCTAGGTTAGGCTAGGCTAGCAGACAGGTCCTCGTTTTGCCTGGTTCTCATGCTCTGGCTCTATGTCCAGTAATAGTGGTGACAGGTAAACGAGTGCTGATCTAGGATCAGGTCCCCCTACCCAATGAAATCTTATTCATTATAATCTAAGATGGCAGAACTGATCCTAGATCCTACTCTGAGACGCTTTATGAAAAAGGGTTTAGATCTACATGCGTTGACCCCATTTCGAGGACATGATACTGTATACACTATATATACACAAGTATGTGGACACCCCTTCAAATTAGTGGATTCAGCTGTTCCAGCCACACCCTTTGCTGACAGGTGTATAAAATCGAGCACACAGCCATGCGATCTCCATAGACAGACATTGGCAGTAGAATGGCCTTACTGAAGAGCTCAGTGACTTTCAACGTGGCACCTTCATAGTCAATTCGTCAAATTTCTGCCCTGCTAAAGCTGCCCTGGTCAACTGTAAGTGCTGTTATTGTGAAGTGGAAATGTCTAGGAGCAACAACGGCTCAGCCGCGAAATGGTAGGCTACACAAGCTCACAGAATGGGACCGCCGAGTGCTCGTCTGTCCTCAGTTGCAACACTCACTACCGAGTTCCAAACTGCCTCTGGAAGCAACGTCAGCACAATAACTGTTCGTCGGGAGCTTCATGAAATGGGTTTCTATGGCTGAGCAGCTGCATACAAGCCTAAGATCATCATGCGCAACGCCAAGAGTCGGCTGGAGTGGTGTAAAGCTCACCGCCATTGGACTCTTTAGCAGTGGAGTGATGAATCACGCTTCACCATCTGGCAGTCCGACGGACGAATCTGGGTTTGACCGATGCCAGGAGAACGCTACCTGCCCCAATGCGTAATGCCAACTGTAACGTTTGGTGGAGGAGGAATAATGGTCTGGGGCTGTTTTTCATGGTTTGGGCTAGGCTCCTTAGTTCCAGTGAAGGGAAATATTAACGCTACAGCATACAATGACATTCTAGACGATCCTGTGCTTCTAGCTTTGTAACAACAGTTTTGGGGAAGGCCCTTTCCTGTTTCAGCATGACAATGCCCCCGTGCACAACGCTAAGGTCCATACAGAAATGGTTTGTCGTGATCGGTGTGGAAGAACTTCACAGAGCTGAGAGAAACATAGCCAAGCACAAGCACCAGGGGTAGAAGGGAATCACTCTCTGAAGGCTGGTTCACAAGGCTACAGTACCCAGTAAACACTCATTGAGAAAGACAGAAGCTTCTCCATGATACAGCTACAGAACAACTAGTCTTATTGAGGCAGGCTCATATTGTTTGGCGCCAGGGCCAGGGCATGTCCACACAAACGCAGTACCACCACACAAAGCATCTGGAGGATTGTACGCAGTACCACCCCACTAACCATCTGGAGGATTGTACGCAGTACCACCACAATAACCATCTGGAGGATTGTACGCAGTACCACCACATTAACCATCTGGAGGATTGTACGCAGTACCACCACACCATTATAGGTCAACCATCTCCAGACACCTCTCTCTTACTCCTGATAATTTAGACTACCACGGCACCAGGTGTACCACCCACACCCACACCCGTGCCCTGTACCCTCTGCAGAGAAGAGTACACAGCGTCTTCCATTGTATGGTTTTCCCTCAAGCACATCCAAAGCTAAGTTAAGCCATGCCAGGCACCCCATCTGCAATTGCCTTAGAAAATAACGTATTATTTTGTACTTTAAAAAAGTTAAACTAACCAGCAATAGTGTGGAATGGAGAAAACTTCTGATGAGTATAAAGGAACCTCCAGTACACTGGTCTATTGAAGACTGAAACATTGGTTTATGATCAATTACATGTTTGGAAGCATGAAGTTCACCAGGAGTTTCCTAGCTATTCAGTTTCCATATGGATGTTTAAAAGTTGGTTGCGTTGGCTCCTGCCTGAGAAACTTGCGGATATGAAATCCTTCTCTAGTCTATTCTCCGGTCCGCTGCATGAGTAATCAATGTACTGTAGATATTTCCTCCCGTTCACAGCCCTTTTGGAAACGGCTGAGCCTAATTAGCCAGCTGATGTGTGGCGGTGTGGAGAGGACTGAGAGTGGATAGAAACACACACACACACACACACACACACACACACACACACACACACACACACACACACACACACACACACACACACACACACACACACACACACACAAACACACACACACACACACACACACACACACACACACACACACACACACACAGACACAAACACACACACTAACACACACACACACACACACACACACACACACACACACACACACACACACACACACAAACACACACACTAACACACCACACACACACACACACATACACACACACACCACACACACACACACACACACACACACACCACACACACACACACACCACACACACACACACCACACACACACACACACACACACACACCACACACACACACACACACACACACACACCACACACACACACAACACACACACACACACACACACACACACACACACACACACACACACACACACACACACACTAACACACACACACACACACTACACACACACACACACACACACACACACACACACACACACACACACACACACACACACACACACACACACACACAACCCCTTAGGATCAGTAGAGTAGAGGATTATGGGAGTGGAGAGCCGTCGGGAAATAACCCACCACGATACAGAACAAAACCCTGCAACCAGGAAGAGAAAGCCCTTTTTGGTGAATAATATGCTCATTCAACAGTTGCGTAATACTGTTGTGTACCAAATGGCATCATATTCCCTATATATATATAGAGGACTATGGGCCCTGGTCTAAAGTAGTGCACTATAAAGTGAATAGGGTTCCATTTGGGACACAGACACTGTCATCCTGTGATTAATAAAGGGAGATAACAAAGGATGTTAGGGTCGGGGGGCAAACCCTCAGATGACATTAACAGACGTTTTACAGTGGCTTTACTGGCCCCGCTAAACTGTGATTCTTATTGGACCAGTAACTGATTATGTTAAAGCATTGACCTCTGTCAAACTGCACTGCTAGAACGAAACTCTAGGCACCAACGTGAGACATTCATCAAGTGCACTGCATGTGCATTATAATTACCGGTTCTTTAACTAGCAGATGTTGGCAGGCTGTCCATCTCAATGTCATGTTAGCTTTTTTAGATAGTATATTGGCCCACCCCAAAGTTCTCCTCATGGAAATCTAACAGAATAAAGTTATTTCTGTGACTTCCTGACCCGGGGCTTGATCTCGGGACCCCTATGTACACAACACTCCATCACTCAAAGTCGACCAATACTAGCTGACAGGGCAAGACTAAAGTCAACTGTCAAACCGTGAGGGATCTCAAGGAGGGTGACATCACGGCCAGACGGCTGCTAGGGCTTCAACAGCCTCCCAGCTCACATCTGTTATAGCTGCTACCTACAGAAAACAACCCTATAGCCTCTTATTTTGTCAACTACATAATAATAATAATAATAATAATAATAATAATAATAATAATATAATAATAATAATAATAATAATAATAATATGCCATTTATACATATTGTTGTATTGTCTAATTGATTACAATTGTCATGGAAATCCCTAAAACAAAAACGATCACTGTCCAAAACAGTCGATTAGCAGTCTTTGCTTATGAACAAAGAGGTCAGCGTAAAGATCAATGTCTTCCTAAAGCTACAGTGAAATTGTTTAGTTGACATTAAAGTAGGTCTATCTGTTTATCCATTCTGGCATACAAACTGTACATACAAGCTTTGTCTCTCACCACACCAAACTCAAAGTAGATATCTTCCCAATAAAACTGAGTCGTTTCTAATTTGTAGTCCACAGTGGTTATCATATCACGTCATTCCACTTGAGGATCATTTAAATTTCTTGACCGTTTTATCACGTCACACATTAATCCACTTTACACCCTTTCAATGTGCACATTAAAGAACGTTAGAGAACATTCCACCGGAGAGGTCACTTCGGGACTCACCTGATTCTCTGGACAGCTGTTGGAAGGCATTCACTCCCTTCTCTCCGTAGGATCCTTCTGACGCCACGGTAGATATGTAGGTCCAGCCCATGGCCTTGACTATGTCCACCATGGCTTGGGCCTGGAACGAGTCCGGAGGCACCACGCGGGAGAAGAAGTCGTACCGCCGGTCATCGCTCAGCTCCGGGGCCGTGGAGGCATAGCTGATCTGAGGAATCTGAGGAGAGAAGGGGCGAACAAGGGTTAAAGATGGAGACAACATCAAAATGCCGATCATGGCTGTTTTCTCTGATGTGTGACAGCTTGCTCCACGAGGTGGAATTCAACATGCTGGACAGATGGCAGTTAGCAATAGGACTGCACTACACATACATCATCCATATTTTTTATATGTTTTTAATCTATGAAAATAATAACTGCATTGTCAATCATCAGATGAATAGCCCCACTATCGATCACTGCAGCCAGCATAGTTCTCTGCATTTCCACACATGCATGAGTCCTCTGCTCTGCATACATGGAAACCCAGTGTGGTTGCATCCTTACCTACAAGTCTTATTGTCTAGACAGTCCTGCTGGGCTCTGAGAAACCACAGGCAAATGCCACTCAATGATATGTAGTCTGCATACCATCTAACAAGCATGTCTACAGTCCTCTGCATGACCTTATTTGTGTGAGATTTGACTCTATATTATGTTATTTTATAGACAGCCCTGTCTGCATGCCTTGGGCTCTATGGCCATGTTCACACTGCAGGCCTTAATGCTCCAATCAGTTTTGTTTTTTGAAATCCGTTTTTTGAAATACCACCGACTGTCCAAACAGCAAGTTACAAGTGACCAAAGGGATTTGTGCGCGTGTTCATTTGCTGACGTGGCTACGCTAGTTGACAGTGCTGAGTTGCTCCTTGGAGATATCAACGAAGAAGGTACGAATCCGATCCTCGTGTTAAGTCAATACAGCTGGTCTGTCCAGGCTACCTATGCTTGCTGTTCTCTCCCCCTGTCAGATCAAAGTTCTGTGACGGCACGCGCCCAACAACCTGCCCGCTTGACCCTATCCCCTCCTCTCTTCTCCAGACCATCTCCGGTGACCTTCTCCCTTACCTCACCTCGCTGATCAACTCATCCTTGACCGCTGGCTATGTCCCTTCCGTCTTCAAGAGAGCGAGAGTTGCACCCCTTCTCAAAAAACCAACACTCGATCCCTCCGATGTCAACAACTACAGACCAGTATCCCTTCTTTCTTTTCTCTCCAAAACTATTGAGCGTGCCGTCTTTAGCCAACTCTCTTGCTATCTCTCTCAGAATGACCTTCTTGATCCAAACCAGTCAAGTTTCAAGACTGGTCATTCAACTGAGACTGCTCTTCTCTGTGTCACAGAGGCTCTCCGCACTGCTAAAGCTAACTCTCTCTCCTCTGCTCTTGTCCTTCTAGACCTGTCTGCTGCCTTTGATACTGTGAACCATCAGATCCTCCTCTCCACCCTCTCCGAGCTGGGCATCTCCGGCGCGGCTCACTCTTGGATTGCGTCCTACCTGACCGGTCGCTCCTACCAAGTGGCGTGGCGAGAAGCTGTCTCCGCGCCACGTGCTCTCACCACTGGTGTCCCCCAGGGCTCAGTTCTAGGCCCTCTCCTATTCTCGCTATACACCAAGTCACTTGGCTCTGTCATATCCTCACATGGCCTCTCCTATCATTGCTACGCTGACGACACACAACTAATCTTCTCCTTTCCCCCTTCTGATAACCAGGTGGCGAATCGCATCTCTGCATGTCTGGCAGACATATCAGTATGGATGACGGATCACCACCTCAAGCTGAACCTCGGCAAGACGGAGCTGCTCTTCCTCCCGGGGAAGGACTGCCCGTTCCATGATTTCGCCATCACGGTTGACAACTCTGTTGTGTCCTCCTCCCAGAGTGCGAAGAGCCTTGGCGTGACCCTGGACAACACCCTGTCGTTCTCCGCTAACATCAAGGCGGTGACCCGATCCTGTAGGTTCATGCTCTACAACATTCGGAGAGTACGACCCTGCCTTACACAGGAAGCGGCACAGGTCCTAATCCAGGCACTTGTCATCTCCCGTCTGGATTACTGCAACTCGCTGTTGGCTGGGCTCCCTGCCTGTGCCATTAAAACCCCTACAACTCATCCAGAATGCCGCAGCCCGTCTGGTGTTCAACCTTCCCAAGTTCTCTCACGTCACCCCGCTCCTCCGCACACTCCACTGGCTTCCAGTTGAAGCTCGCATCTGCTACAAGACCATGGTGCTTGCCTACGGAGCTGTGAGGGGAACGGCACCTCCGTACCTTCAGACTCTGATCAGTCCCTACACCCAAACGAGGGCACTGCGTTCATCCACCTCTGGCCTGCTGGCTCCCCTACCTCTGCGGAAGCATAGTTCCCGCTCAGCCCAGTCAAAACTGTTCGCTGCTCTGGCACCCCAATGGTGGAACAAGCTCCCTCACGACGCCAGGACAGCGGAGTTACTCACCACCTTCCGGAGACATTTGAAACCCCACCTCAGCAGTCAACTAGCTAGCTAGGTAGCTGTTTAGCTTTCTAGAACATTCACTCATTTGTTTTGTAAACATTTATCAAGCTAGTTGGCTACCACATGTTATTGTCAAACTGTCAACAGGGCAGCTAGCAAGCAACAAGACATGCCAAATAACAGTCGAAAAACCACTTGATGGCAAATAAATCAGATTTGACGGTTCAAACACAAGTCGCATGGCCATTTGTATCTGACTTCAAACCACATACGAAGGTGGATTTGAGTCACTTCAAACTGCCAATGTGAACACGTCTTTAGAAGCCAAAGTTCAATCATGAACCAATTCTGACAGAGATATCGAAACAAGCTTGACAGAGACACTCAAAGTTATTTTTTTTTTATGGCCTTCAGCAAAACTTCACCGCTCAAAGTTAATGTTTAGTAATGTTTAGTAATAATGTTTAGTAATGTCATGAATATGTTGAATTTTTCTAACAGTTTTTCCACGTTGGGTAATTTCAGTTTATGAAGTTCAGAGCCTCGTACGGCGCACAATTGGCCCAACGCCATCCTGGGTAGGGGTGGGTTTTGCCGGCTGGGATTTCCTCATCATGCTCTAGTGACTCCTTGTGACATGCCACCCTGAACACGCCTGGGCTCTGCCACCCTGAACACGCCTGAACACGCCTGTTCACGCCTGTTCACGCCTGTTCACGCCTGTTCACGTCTGTTCAGGGTCGGGCCTGGTTTGAACTGGGACAGGAGACCGCCTGAGAATACCAGGTGCTGTAAGCTTTTTTTTTCTTTTTTTTTTTTGGTACGATATCCCTCAAACTTCTAAATTAGTTTGACACCACTTGCTCTCAAGTTCACCACCGCAATTACATTCAGAGATAGTGTCTGGGATTACTTGACCATTTTGTCCATTTTGGTCTGGTCTCTTGGCCTTATCATTAAAAAAACAAGGTAATTCGCTCTCAGGAGAGAGCTCCCTTAGCTGTAAATCCCAACAACATGTTATTTCTTCAATTAGCCCTTTGATCTCTCTTAATTTAATGGAGAAGAGAAGAAGCATTCATCTGTAAATACTGCCCATTAGTAAAGGACTGGATTAGAGCATGGTTGGCTACAACTGTAGCTTAACATTGAAGAAAAAAAATTAAATTCGTTCAATGTAATAGACAGCTGACCTACCAATAGGATGGCTATGGTATATACTATGGCAGTAAACATGGTATGGGTATATACTATGCAATAAACCATGGCTATGGGTAATTATGGCAAGTAAAACCATGGCTATGGGTGATATACTAGGCAGTAAACAGGCTATGGGATTAGAGCATAACCTGGCTATGGTGTATATACTATAGCAGTAAACAGGTATTGAATACTTAGAGTAACCATGAGGTGAATACTATGCATAAACCATGTCGTGTTGTGATATAACTGGCAGTAAACATGGCTATGGGTGATATACTATGGCAGTAAACCATGGCTATGTGGTGATATACTATGGCAGTAAACCATGGCTGTGTGGTGATATACTATGGCAGTAAACCATGGCTATGGGTGATATACTATGGCAGTAAACCATGGCTATGGGTGATATACTATGGCAGTAAACCATGGCTATGGGTGATATACTATGGCAGTAAACCATGGCTATGGGTGATATACTATGGCAGTAAACCATGGCTACAGGTGATATGCTATGGCAGTAAACCATGGCTATGGGTGATATACTATGGCAGTAAACCATGGCTATGGGTGATATACTATGGCAGTAAACCATGGCTATGGGTGATATACTATGGCAGTAAACCATGGCTTTGTTCTTGTCCCATCGCGCACTAGCGACTCCTGTGGCGGGGCGGGCGCAGTGCAAGCTGACATGGTCGCCAGGTGTACGGTGTTTCCTCTGACACATTGGTGCGGCTGGCTTCCGAGTTAAGCGGGCATTTGTGTCAAGAAGCAGTGCGGCTCGGTTGGGTTGTGTTTCGGAGGACGCACGGCTCTCGACCTTCGCCTCTCCGATGGGGAAAAAAACGATGGGGAAAAAAACAAAACATTTAATAAAAAATAAAAGAATGGCTGACTCCGGTAAGACAAGGGGTAGAGGTCTGTGTATATTTGTAAACAACAGCTGGTGCATAAAATCTAATACTAAGGAAGTCTTGAGGTTTTGATCACCTGAGGTAGAGTATCTCATGATAAGCTGTAGACCACACTATTTACAAAGAGAGATTTCTTCTACAGTACCAGTCAAAGGTTTGGACACACCTACTCATTCCAGATTTTTTCTTTATGTTTTACTATTTTCTACATTGTAGAATAAAAGTGAAGACATCAAAACTATGAAATAACCAAATAAAGTGTGAAACAAATCAAAATATATTTTCCATTTGAGATTCTTCTAATAGCCACCCTTTGCCTTGATGACAGCTTTGCACGCTCTTGGCATTCTCTCAACCAGCTTCATGAGGTAGTCACCTGGAATGCATTTGAGCCAATCAGTTGTGTTGTGACAAGGTAGGGTTGGTATACAGAAGATAGCCCTATTTGATAAAAGACCAAGTCCATATTATGGCAAGAACAGCTCAAATAAGCAAAGAGAAATGACAGTCCATCATTACTTTAAGACATGAAGGTCAGTCAATACGGAACATTTCAAGAACTCTGAACGTTTCTTCATGTGCAGTCACAAAAACCATCAAGCGCTATGATGAAACTGGGAGCCCAGAGTTACCGCTGCTGCAGAGGATAAGTTTATTAAGAAATTGCAGCCCAAATAAATGCTTCACAGAGTTCAAGTAACAGACACATCTCAACATCAACTGTTCAGAGGGGACGCTGCTGCTACTCTGTTAATTATTTATGCA